CCCAGCTCCGGGCAAAGAGAGAAGCTGAGCATGGTCACAAGCCCAAGCCGGTGCAAGTCAAGAAGGAAGAAGCACCGGGACCTAGCCGGCCGAGGCACCACTATGACCCGGTCATCCGAGTGGTCAATACAGAAGAATGCCAAGAAGTCCGGAAAGCACCGGTCATTCCTCCAGAAAACCCTACCGGTCAAGTAGGGCGGCAGTGGTCGGGCACCTATTGTTCGTACCACAGGTCTGATTCCCATAACACCTCCGAATGCAAGAGTGTTAAAGGGGTCATCCGGCAGATGATCGACAGTGGAGAGCTGGGCAAAGATTACTTGCAGAAAGCCCAGGAGAAGAGTCATCAGTGGGTTAGGCCAACTGCCCCAGGGAATGACCGGGACAATGACCGGCGGAGGAATAACCGGCCAAGGGAGCGGCAACCTGCCCCCGAAAAAGAACACATCGGCATGATCTTCGGCGGACCCGAGGGTGGAGATTCAGCCGCGCAGCGGAAGAACTGGGTCCGGAGAATTTACGTGGGAGAAGTAAGTGCTGAACCGCCCAGGCGTAAACATACTAGGAGGGAGCCAATCGTCTTCACTGACCGAGATCTCCCTCCTACCGGTGAAGATCACAATGATCCATTGGTCATCACCATGGACATTAATGGGGTAGATGTCGCCCGGGTACTTGTTGACACCAGCAGTAGTGTCAACATCTTATACCTGGAGACCTTCCAAAAACTCAGGTTGTGTCGAACAAAACTTGAACCCCTCAAAACCCCTCTCTCAGGCTTCACGAGGGATACCGTTGAAGCTGAAGGATCCATAGTTCTACCGGTCGAACTAGGATCAGGTGAAAAGACCGTGTGGAAGAAGATGCGGTTCATAGTTGTGGACATCAAATGCGTCCACAACGCAATCCTAGGAAGTCCAGGCATCAATAAAGTCGGGGCGGTGATTTCCATGCCTCATCTATGCATGAAGTTCCACACTCCAGGTGGTGTGGGTGAGGTGAAGGGCGACCAGAGGAACGCCCGGGAGTGCTATGCCCGGGCAGTCAAGAAAATGACCAGGGGGGTCAATGTCATCTCCCAAGAGATCGCAAAAGGAGAGACCCGGGAGAAACTGGAGCCTGAGGCTGAAACGGTGGAAATCGAACTTCACCCGGGTGATTCTTCGAGGATGGTCAGAATTGGAGCAAATCTCCCCGAGGATCTCAAAGAGCAGATTACACGGGTCCTCCAAGAGTACGCGGGCATATTCGCATGGAGCGTGGCGGATATGCCCGGGATAGATCGCTCTGTTATCTGCCACCGGTTGGCCGTGAGGGAAGGAAGTCGACCGGTACGCCAAAAGAAGCGGTACCTGGCCAGTGACCGGCGAGACTTCGTCAAGAAGGAAGTCAAAGACCTCCTCAGTGTTGGTCACATCCGGGAAGTCAAGTACCCGGATTGGCTGGCCAACGTTGTCCTTGCTCCCAAGGGCGACACGTGGAGAATGTGTGTGGATTATACGGACTTGAACAAGGCTTGTCCGATGGATTCATACCCCCTCCCCAGTCCAGATCAAATGGTGGACGAAACTGCGGGGTGCGAACTCCTAAGTTTCATGGATGCCTTCAAGGGTTACCACCAAATCTACATGGCCAAGGAAGATGAAGAGAAGACATCATTCCTCACACCCGAAGGAACCTACTGCTACCGGGTAATGGCGTTTGGCTTGAAGAACTCGGGGGCAACCTACCAGCGCATGGTGAACAAGCTCTTCAAGCCACTACTGGGAAAGACCATGGAGGCATACGTCGACGACATGCTGATCAAAAGCCAGGTATCTCTGAACCACCCGGCTGATATGCGAGCCACGTTCGATATCATGGCAAGGTACAACCTCCGGCTGAATCCTAAGAAATGCGTCTTCGCGGTTCGTACCGGGAAGTTCTTGGGATTCATGGTGACCAAGAGAGG